TTTGTCTCTAGGCCAGGCCATTGCTCGGCGTCTGAAACCATTTGGGGTCCAGAGATTTCTGTACACAGGGCGCCAGCCCAAGCCTCAGGAAGCCGCAGAATTCCAGGCAGAGTTCGGTGAGTAAAACCTTGATTTCCACAGGAGCCCCACCTGTGCCCCGTTACGGCCGCACTGGCAGGCAGAGCAGAGGAACTCCAGGTGTGTGCGGGGCCCGCTGTGTCCCTTAGGTGTTGTCTAATCTACCTGCCCCTGGACACAGCCCCACCCGGAGCACAGACACTTATCCAGGCCACACATGAGTTCTCTTGGTGCCAGGAGAGCACTCCCAGTCTGTCTCAGAGTCCCTGTCACCGTTGCACATGGTGTGGGCAGAGCAGCAGGGATGATGACAAAGGTAAGGAACTGCTGGGAACTTTCACTCAGTTTTCTTAAACTGGTGAGCATTCCCCCAGCCTGTATCCAGGTGGATCCAGCGCCCTGGCAGGGCGCACAGCTTTGTGTGCAGAGAACAGGCTGGAATCCAGCCATTCCTCACCCCCGTGGCACGTTGGGCCCTGAAGCTGGTGAAAGCCAGAGTGGCCCAGATCCCGCTGTGTGACCCTGAACAAGCTCCTGCCCCTCTCTGGCTCCAACGTCCCCATATGTTAGACCAGGGGGCTAAACCAATGATGTCATACAGCAGGGTTCCACGAATGGCTCTCAGCTGTACCATTTCAAGTCACACAGGTAGAAGCGAGGCTTCCAGGAAGCATCTTGAGAGTTTCCACTATGGGAGGAGGAGGGAAGGATCTGGTCTCCTACTCTCTTGCTGTCTGTAACCTGGAACTGAGCACCTGATGGAGCCCTGCCCTCCCCCAGTGTCCACCCCCGAGCTGGCTGCTGAGTCTGATTTCATCATCGTCACCTGCTCCTTAACGCCTGCAACCAAGGGGCTCTGCAACAAGGACTTCTTCCAGAAGATGAAGAAAACAGCGGTGTTTGTCAACATCAGCAGGTATCCGGGGGCTGCCTGACATCCCTGGGTCCCCCGGCAAGCCTAGAGAGGGGCTGTCCCTGTTGCTGGGATCTGAGGTTTTTCTTCCCTGTAGGTTTTTGAGGAGCCCTCAGGCTGAGCTTGCTGCTGTCCATAAACGAACCAACCAGCCCACTCAGAAATATAGTAAAGGCCATGGAGAGGGTCTAGGCTGGGAGGAAGCTCCGTGAGATCTGGGCCTGGCCTGTCTGGTTCCCGGCAGTACCGTCAGCCATGCTTAGGGCCGGGCACATCACAGTGCTGGTTTAGGGAGTGAAGACCTGATGGCCTGGGGTTCATAGGCATTCTTAGGCAGCCCCTGTTCCTCTCTGTCACAAAGCGTTGGGCTTAATGATTTAACAGCCCTTCAGTGGCTGACCTGGGATTGCACTGAACCTGGATCTGTCTGAGTCAGTGACAGCTTTCAACCTCACGCTTCCGGGAAGATACACCAAAAACTCAAATGGCCTTGGTTCCTTAAAATGTCCCGGGGTGCCTTCAGGCCACTGGGCACCTGATGGGGGCAGACCTTCCTTATTTGCCTCTCTAACCCTTCCTCGCCCCGGTGCCCTTTGAACCTGCTTAAATCAGTTTGGAGGCAAACAGAGGTAGGAAGGGGTTGGATGAGGTCATCCCCCACCCCCCAAGGCTCTCCACCACAGAGGTGCCTGTAATTGCTCATGTTTGGCTACAAAGGAGGTGACCTGGAGGTGGAGTGAACATAGGGCTCCAGCTGATGGCTGGCAGTGTCACAGCTTCCATTTAGTGAGCACACACACAGACCCAGGTCTGTGCAGGCTGCTGTTACTTATTGTTGCACAAGTATTAGTTAGTGTCCATAAGTTAGAGACAATATGAAGTCTCTAGTAAATTAGTTCCTTCCTTCAGTGAGTCAGTAACGGGAGGGCAGGCTGCTCACTTGGATGGATGTAGTCAGGTGTATCACGTCTGCCCGCGGTCAGGCAGGTGACTGATGGCTGGCTGCAGTGGTTCTTAGTGGGTGGCCTGGGGAGCAACTAGACCAGAAGCACCTGGATGGGGCCCTGTTCATGCAGTCGTGCATGTCAGTAAGCTTTGATCCTCCCAGCACTCCTGGGAGTTACAGACTCCTCCAACATCACACAGGAGGAAACGGAGACAGAGCCAGAAAGTGGCAGAGCTGGGGTTCTCTGATTATAAGACCTGTGTTACTGTACAGGCAGGCTATAAGTAAGGACAGTAAGACCTGCTGCTTTAGAAGCCAGTGCCAAGAGCCAGGTTGGTGGGAAAATTCATTCTGTGGGTGGTCCTGCCCTAGAGGCAAGCCTCGGAGGAGGGAGCTGTGGGGTACACACATCACTGCTGTCATTCCCAGGGGAGATGTGGTCAACCAGGACGACCTGTACCAGGCCTTGGCCACTGGTCAGATTGCAGCTGCTGGACTGGATGTGACGACCCCAGAGCCACTGCCTACGAACCACCCTCTCCTGACCCTGAAGAACTGTGGTAAGAGCTACATTTTTCCAGTGTAGTCACCCACCGCCTGGTGGGACCACAGTAGTTAGAGGGCCTGGAGGCAGTGTGAAGCTACCTTGAGCAGTACAAAGGGACACACCCAGGGACCATAAATGTTTATGCCATTAGAGACACCGGTGCATGGTAACAGGGGAGGGGCCTCCTGAGGATGCTCTTCAGGGTCTGTGTCCCTAAAGGAATGAATGGAGGCAGGGCTGAGTGGATTTGTTTAAAAAGAGTGGGCTAACTGGGTGTCTTTTATCCCTAGCTAGTCACGGTTAGAACCCATTACTATAAATTGCTGTTTTCAGTTTAAGTGTGAGAAGTCACAAGTGAAATTACAGTACTAATATTTGTAACCTGTGTCAGTTATTAAGCCGTTGTCTCTTGGCTCCAAACCTACCCTCGGGTAGTTTGTTTTGTAGTGCAGGGTCTGGTTCTCTAATTTCTGCCGGGCCCTGTGAGTGTCGATGCTGGAGGCAGCTTGGCGGGCTAGAGGCTGCAGGACTGGGCTCCCTCCTGCCTTCCCGTCGGACTGTGAGCGGCAATGCAGCAAGGTTTCTTCACTAGCAGCAGCTGTTCCTTCCTGTGGGGGCTGGAAAATCCAGTTTGCAGTTTTCCCAGCAATAGTTAACCATTGTGCCGCCTCAGACAAGCCACAGCCATATCTTGGCCACAGAGGTCGGAGTTGCAGCTCCAAAAGGGCCTTCCTTCAGTCTTCTAAGTGTTAACAATTCCACCCGTCCCCTCCATCCCCTTAGTATTAGGGAGGTAGATGCTTCTGGCAGTCAGTCTTTGTGATACCTAATTGCAGGGGTTCTCAAACTATTATGTTCCTCAGTCACCTGGAGGGACAGATCAAACACAGGGGACTGGGCCCCCAAGGTTTCTGCTTCAATAGGTCTAACACACCCCCACGCCAATGCTGCTGGGCCTGGCACCACACTTGGGAGAACTACTGCCTTAGCGTTTTTAGCCTCCTGTTACCTAGTTAACAACTTTACACCTAATGTTCTTTATATTAAGTTCTCTCAGTTCAGGTAGCTGGAATGGTTTCTGTCTTCACACTAATATTTAACTGTGAGTGGGTAAGGGCCTTTGGTCGTCTGGGCCAGTCCCTGTCCTTTATTTATATTCTGCAGTGGAAACCAAGAAGAAAGTCCTTAGCTGCCTTCCCCACAATGAATGCTCCCATTATTGTAGCCCTTGGGAACTTGACTGTTCCCACCCCCATAGCAGCCAGAAAGGAACACTGGCTGTGATGTCAGGTCTGTGACCACAGACGAGAAAACTGTCCCCATCCCCCAAGGCCTGGGAGTTCAGTTCAGTGCCCCGGGTGCTGCTTTCAAAAGGCACTCATTGAGAATAAGCAACCTCACTTGCTCTGCTGTCCAGTGTTTCATCTTGTCATTCTTTCTCCAGATAGAAGCCCTGGGGCATGACCTCTGGGGCGCAGGGTATGGGTGAGCAGTTAAATAGGCACCATTCACTATCTGGTAACTGAAGGGTGGGGTTCTAGATATGCTCCAAGGCCCCTTTTAGGCCAGTGTTCTTTCTTTTATTCAGGATGCAGCTCCCTTGTCACCCTTGCTGGGTGTCACTATCCCGGATTCCCTTTCCTCTTCCTCTGACCCTCAGGGGAGTGGAGTGCTGAGTGACAGGAGGGGAGGCAAATCACAGAATATTGAGGCAGGCTCTTTATTCTTCTTACTGGCAAGCCGTGGCCAAGAAAGGAGGGCCTGCTTTAAGGCTCTTGAACTACCCTCTTACCTCCCTCTCTTTCTCTCCTTCCCAGTGATCCTGCCTCACATTGGCAGTGCCACCCACGGAACCCGAAACATCATGTCCTTGTTGGCAGCTAACAACTTGCTGGCTGGCCTGAGAGGGAAGCCAATGCCCAGTGAACTCAAGCTGTAGCAAAACAGGACACCACGGGCCAGGCGGACAGAGCCTGGAATGCTGTCAGGTGTGCCAGGCTTGACCTGGACCCACAGGATGGAACCAGGAAGTCTGGTCTATACTGATGGTGCAGAAGGAAGACTGGTGCGGATAGATGTGCTTGCAACTTTTGTGGCTGGGAACATCTGAGCCAAAAGTGTATAACTATTAAATAATGCTCTGAGAGACTGTGTTGGCCTGTAACTGAGAGGAGCTAATGACAAGAGCATCTGCTATACCTTTTCTAACTCAGGGCATCTAGGGACCTGTGCGTTCAGCTTCCCACATCAGTCCTCACCCCCTAGCATTTTAATGATTAGAACCTGTCCAAACGTTACCCCTCATCCTCTGCTCAGATTCCTTCCCATGTCCATCCCTAAGAACAGGACAACCATAGCCCAGTGGTGACCATGACACTAGAATCTGCCTCCTAGACCATTGGGGCAAATTAAATATACACAGCAAAGAGAACCAGGGAAGAATACTTGGAAGTAGGTGAGTTTCTTAATTTTTATTTTAAAATTAGTTTCAGCACCACCACACTTGGCTCCCCTTGTCTTATCTCCTCCTCCTTCCCACCCCCCAGGTGGATGCCCTTTTTCTAATCACTACCTTAACTCCTCCCTCAGGCCAGGCCACCAGCATTGCCAAAGTCCTACTTCTGCTGAGGGAGCCCATTCTAGTCCTTCCCCACAGCCAAGTCCAACTGGCGCATGGAGTTTTCAATCTGGGAGGCAAGGAAGGGAACAGCAGAAAGCATAAGATTAAACAATAGAACTGGGTGGGCTGAGAACAAAACCTCACCCAAGCCCATGGCTCAAAGACAAAAAGAGTGCAGGGGAGGCAGAAGGGCCTACACTGAGGGGAATGACCAATAATTATCACCGAGAGCATTAGAGTATTTTCTAGAAGATATGATTAGGAAAAAATTCTGGTCAAAGCAGCATTAGCAGAGAAAGTAATACTACATCCCTTTTTTTGTTTTAAAATTAACCTAAGTGCAGAAAAAGAACACATATTTAGTTAGATTATGAATGTGACAAATTTTTTATTTCAAAATCTCAAATTTTGACCAGCATAGCACCACTGACATAGGTGCCGTGATAGAACCTTATGATGATCATCAGAAATGATTATGCCAGGCTATAATTAAGGCTAATCAATCCAAATCCAGGTACCCAATACCAGTTATAATTCAGGTAGAAACTATGGATCATAGGACCCCTGGGACTGGTTTTCCAGGGAACCTCTGAAATATCTTAAGCACTACAGCTTGTATGAGGACATTGGCCCGCAAGCTTGCTTCTCTCCCATAGCAACTGATTGACTAAGAGGTAGATGAGCAATTCCAGATTCCACCTAGCAAAGGAAAGGCAGGACTCTAGCCCTTGTACTGGAGACAGGCGCCAAAGCAAAGTCCACTTAAGCCTGAGATGAGGTGAGGGGGCAGCCTCCTTGCACCACGTCCTTAAAATGGCAGGAAGAAGGGCTGCCACTGCTCTTCCCAGTATCACTGGTTCTCCCCAGGCCCAGGCAGGGCCTCTTGCCCATGGTGATCCACCTGTCTCCCAGTTAATCTCACAAGACACTGGTCCCCGCATCATGTAGAGGGGTGGATGTAGCGCCTCCTCACATCAAATCAGAACACAACTGCTAACAATTAGCCACACACCCCTCAATTTCACAGGTGACACCATGTCCTCCAGTGGTCACTTTCCTACATCTGCTGCAAAGGAGAGGAATCTCAGTTTTCCTTTCCTCCTGAGAATCTGTTCACAGGACATGCTAAGCCAACTATGAACACTGAGTTTATCCCCAGACAGGTGCGTATCCACAGACAGTGTGCATAAACTGCACACAATAGATTGAGAGGGAAAAAAGGCTAATTTTTGTTTTAGGCTACACATATTTATCTTTCTAAAGAGAAGAACTGAAAGATTTCTCTCAATTATGCACAATGGTTGGTGTCTTAAAAAGCTGTATAAAAGATGAACACATGTTCATGCATGATTTAAACTGACCCCATGAGCTCTACAGAGACACATTAACGTGAGCTGTTCCCAAGCAGCACACAGCCAGGGCTGGGCCTGACACAGGTGCCACAACAGCCCTGATAGCACAGGGTCGGAAGACTGCAAGGTGGGCTGGGGAAGCGAGGCAGTGGGCCCCGAAGAGGCCCTGGACAGTGACCCAAATGTCTCTTCCAACATTCTCAGATGCTACTTGGTGGCTTCTATGTTCTGGACTATCCTACCCTCTTATAAAATAACTGTGAACACTACTATGTTTGGATTTCAAACATTCAGTATTGGGCTGGGACAACCACCATAGTTCACTTTCTATATTTTAAAACTATAGCATATAACAGTTTAAGACCTGCAGTTTTTGGTTAGTTTGTAACCGAAAATAGCAACCTAGACCTGGGAATGAAGCCATATGGGGCATGAGAATATGAAGAAGCGAAATACAGAATAGATGTGTCATTGGGTGAGATGTCAGGCTGGACTGGCTCTGAAGTCTCGATGAAACAAAGGGTAAATGTGCTATGAAAGATCCCACAAAACAGGACTCCACATCATCAGAACAAAGACAAACACTAGCTCTTTTCTGACTTCCAAACATGGAATTGTAACATATGTATACGAGTTGGTTAAAATACTGCTAAAACCACACACACAGAAACAATATCTTACTTGTCACTCCCTACAAGTACATACTCCATTTACAATTTTGTTTTTAAAACCAAGATAATTATTAAAACTTCTATCCAACGATGTTTTCAAAGTATATACACCTAACAGCCCAGAGTATGCTTGCTCTGGACCCAGTGCCAGCACCATCAAAGTGCAGTGTCTATGACTGCAAATCAGAAAAAAATAAAAAATACAGTACTTTGTGAGGCCAACGACTAGCTCATAATAGGCTTTAAAGCATTGTGGCTGACAGGCGTGTCATCCTGGAGGGCTTTTTAAATGGGCACAAAGTTGCCACTGGTTAAACATAAATGAGTCTTGTATCACTGTACAGGTATATAATAGCCCCATCAGAGGGTATAAGAAATTTAATTAAATGCTTCACAGAGTTTTACAAAAATTGCTAAAAAAGTTTTTTGCACTTTAATTTTTAATTTTTACATGTGCCACTTTTAACATCAATTATAAACTACTTTTTGACTGCATTACTCAACCCTAAGGAAGAACTTGGAGGACTGCATCTCTCTGAAAGCGTGCATTTCACTGAGAAATGCAGCAGCACTAGCACTATTAGTTCTCCACTAACATGTTAGTTCTCCACTGAGTCATCGAAATTTGCAAGAGCCATTGGGCAGCCTGAAGCCTCAAACCCAGGGGCATTAGCCCTCAGCCAAAACACAGTTTTAGTTTTGGTCCTACAACTGGCATCAACATTATCTCAAGAGGTCAGGGTTAGAGCAAAGTGCTTGGAAGACTGCTGCTCTGCCAGCGCAGACAGGTAGTCTTAGAATGTTTATACAGGTGGCTGGACTGACTGAACCTCTTGCCACACTTCAGGCAGGCATATGGTTTTTCACCTGTGTGAACACGGATGTGCTTCTTGCAATCTGTCAAGGTCAAAAAAGTCTTGCAGCAGATTTTACAGGCATACTTGCGAGCTCCCTCTACAACCAGGACATTGTGCTCTGATAAGGCCTTCTTGCACTTTGACAGGACATCGGCAGATGCCCTGGTCAACTGTGGAGGGCCAGGCTGGGAAGGATGCCCACTTTCAAATGAGGATGTGGCCCCATTCATCATTAGCTGGGAACTGGCAGAGTTTTCTGGGATCTGTGAGCTCCTGACAGAAGTTACAATTGGCATTTTGGGAGCTATACGGCGGTAGTATGGAAAGTTACTGGCCTTTCCTCTTGAGGAACCCATCATTACCCTGGAGAAGGAGGAGTGGAGGCCCAAACCAGATCTGGAAAAATCCATCCCAAACTGTTCTCCTTGATAGCCTGATGTCTGCACACATGGCAGGCCCATTGCTTCCTGCATAGGCCTAACAAAATGGGAGTCTGCAGGCTCACTGAATGGGTTTTCTACATGAGAGCCAGGGGCTGAGGTGGGCCCACCAGCAGGCCCAGCCTCTGGACTCAACAAATAAGGGGCCTCACACTCCAGCCTGCAGTCACTAGTGGTGTTTGGGATATTATCGTCGTTGTTCTGATTTGCGCTAAAGTTGCTTCCTCTGCTCTTGTTAAGAAAATTTGAAATGCTAAAAGTGGACTTATGATCTAAGTTATTTGTGACTTCCAAAATATGGATGTCACCTACCCTGTCAGTGCTGGACTGGGGATCTGAAAAACTCCGATCACTGCTTTCAGGGCTGAGGTCTATCTTCTCAGCACTGACCACAACTCCTTCCACTTCCACAGATTCGCTGCCTTCTGCTTGTGAGGTCACATCACTCACTTCATCCTGAGGTTCAGGAGAACTCAAAGGCTCAGATTTAACCACTACTCTCATGTGCTCCTTCTCACCAAGGCCAACCTCAGGATTTTCACACTGAAAACCACTTTTATCAGTTGCAGCTTCCTGCTCAAAACTAGTCTCAACCTGAGTCGCGCGAGAAGCCATCGACAACTGTGCCATGTTGCTGACACTGTTGTCAGACTGGCTAGGCACCTGGGCGTCTTCTTGAGCACCGAAAGACTGGTCAAACATGATGGCACTGTCTTCCTGGTTGTCGGTCATTCCGTCAGCTTTAGGATTATCCACAATTTTCAGAGAATCTGGTGAGAAGAATTCCTCTCGAGAATGAACCCCTGAAGGCCCATTCTCCGGAGTAACATTGGAAATGGCAGACTCATCCATGGTGGGTCGGAGACGCTGTCTGGCCCGTTCCTCTGCAGACTGCTTGCGCTTATGAAGGCGTCTCATGGGGAAGGGCGTCCGCTGGTCCAGGTTACTGCGCATCGATGAGCTCATGGGGGCCTGCTGCTCCTCACCATTCTGGTTGGAATTGAGGGCTGAGCTCACGATGCTTAGTCCCAGCTGCTGCAACATAAAGAAGCGCTGCATGCGGGCACTCTGTTCCTGAACACGCTCACTAGGGGGAGACATGGGCAGCGTCCTTGTTGTTAAGTAATGTTTACATGCCTTAACAACAGAGTTCAAATGCAGGTGAGAGGCTGCCAATAAGACATCCATAACATTGCTCTCCCCCAGCATGAGGGTGGAGGTATACATCATGTCAATCAGTGCAGCAAAGGCCTCTGCTGTCACTACCTCACTATCCAGCTGGATCATGTTCATGGCCTGATCTCCCTCTGCCACTGAGAACAAGGCTCGGAAATGTGTGCTACAAGCTGCCAGTACAGAGCGGTGGGCTTTAAAATGCCTATTCCCTACTACAATGACACAATCACAGAGCTGGCCATGAAGTCTTTGGTAGTTCAGTTGCTGGAAGATCTGTTCAAAGTGTCCAGGAAAATCCATGATCCTATGGGAAAAGAAAGTGTTAAGACTTAGAAAAGCTTAAGACAAAGCCAGAGCACAGAGGGTGTGATGAAAAGAGAGGCATGGATGGCCAAGCCTGGATCTTTAAAAGCTTGTGATATTTTTGATAATGGGCCCACAGACTAAAAACCTGTCAAACAAGGAGCAAATGCTGATTTAGCTACAGCCCTGGAAGCATGTGCACATGTGGGATCAACTACTGGTTGTTAACAGGCTCCCTTTTACTCTTTGTATGACGCACTTTTACACTTAGGTCCCATGTTAGAAAAGACCAGCGTGTGCACTATAGAATATCTATCCCTCAGAAGTTAATTTGAGTTCTACATTCCCTAAGGACAATAAATAAATTCCACAGTCTTTATGTCACCTTAAATAAGTGAAAATGTTAATATTAGTGGGGAAGATTTCTAGTTATAGATGGTAGTAGATTCCACACATGTGTTTACCTCCCTATCACACACGCTCATTTCTGAAACCCCATTAAAAATACACTAAAGTTTTTTGGTTTTGTTGTTTTAAAGGTATAAACCTACAAGGAAAAAAAGTACAAGAAACAAATATCAACAGCATTTTGGAAGCTGGTGAACAGGTAAACAAATGATTGCCAACTGACTGAGCATACCCAGAAAGCTAAAACCTAAACTGGCCGTGGATAAAACACTCTTGACTTAGATACAAGCTCCCCACCCACCCAAAGGCTCAGGAACTGGTTGCCGAGATGCCAGGGGAAGTGGAATAGAGGTGATACTATGAGAGGGGAACTGAATGGAAATCTATTCAATTAAAAAAAAAATCCAATGGAAGCTCTGTGCTTGTGGCACAGAGAAGGTAAATCTATAGAAACAAAAAGATTAGTTGTTATCTGGGACAGGGGGTGACAGGACAGAAGGACTGAAAATGGGAAAAGGGAATCTTTTTTGGGGGGGAGTGATGATGGAAATGTTCTGAAATTGAATTGTGGTGATGACTGTACAATTCATAATTTTCTAAAAATATTTGAACTGTACACTTAAGGAATTTTATGGTAAGTACATTATACCTCAATATAGCTCAATAAATTATATCTCAATAAAAAAAATGGGTAAAGAAAAACAAGAGATAAACAATCCAGATGAGGGGGTGCATAAAAGACTAATTTTTCAAATAAATAAATGGCATTTCAATCCAGCATACCAATTTACTTATTTTTAATTTTTTTTTTTTATCCTTACCGAAGGACATTTTTTTCATTGCTTTTAGAAAGAAAGGAAGCGAGAGGGGAAGAGTGAAAGAAACACTGATTGACTGCCTTCTTGTAAGTGATCTGACCAGGGACTAAACCCGCAACCCAGATATGTGCTCTGACTGGGAATCAAAACTTTTACCTTTTAGTACATGGGACAATGCTCAGACCAACTGAGCCACAGCAGCCAGGGCTGTAGCATACCAATTTAAAAGGATGATATTCTGTTCAATGCCTTTCTTCTTCAACAAGCAGCAGAAATATGATTATTAAGGAAAAATAGCCTCCTTATATTTTTTAAATGTCAGTTATCTTGAGTTTAAGGAGAAACTATCATTATTTTCTACAAAAGGTCATTCATTAGAATGCCACCTCTTAATGTTCAATCTCCACTTTTTATAGGAAAGGCATAAGTAGCAAGGACATTGTGGTCCCAGAAGCACCATTTTGAGGAATATTCCCAAGGACTAGAGACCTCCGCGAAGAGACTCATGAGGTAGCTTAGCATGACCCCAGCAAAGACAGAAGTTGAAATAGTACTATAAGACAGGTAAACAGTCCATACAATCACTTAACTTCCCATTTGCCTAAAGATCATCAGCCCTATACTAGACACCCTTACATAGCCCTGGAGGTCAACTCAAGTTCTCAAAACACTCAACTCAGGCTCTGCTCATAATACGTTAGGGATGCCTGGAATGTCCTGCTATGCCTTGTAGGCCATCTTCAGGGCAGCACAAAGGAAGAAAGAGTCTTCTTTTTCTCTTCAGGGGCTCTGGAAGTTGTGAAACTAACATGGTGACATTAGAGATAATCAAAACCTAGAGAAACACTTGTTCTCTAAGTTAGTAACTGTGCAATTTTCCATTTAGAGATACTTCAAATTAATTTCTCCATCATGGCAATCTTCTTTCATCTCAGTATCATTTAATCAATTTATGATCATTTGGTTTAGCAACAGAAATCAAATACATCAGATCAAATCTAATCTTAGCCATAAAACTGGCTAACTGGATTATTCAACTGTCCTTTCCAATATCAAGAGTGTCAGAAAGCATCTCGGTATAAGTCAGAGTCCTTAACTGAATACAGTAGAATCCACTCAACTGATTTTTGGAGAAAGAGGTTATGATTAAAGGATGTTGGGAAGCTCACAAAATCTCCAGGATGGGAGAGCTATATCTGAATGCCCCAGAGCATCCAACCACATTGGGTAACAATTCTAGAGAACTCATTACTACCACCGCCACCTCTACCACCTGCAGCTCTGTACACAGATCTTGCTTTGGATGAGCTGCTCAGAAAAGTAATTGTCACTGCACCTTCTAGATCAACACTGTACCACAGAACTTTTTACAGTGATGGAAATCATCAGCATTGTTTCTATGCTATCCATTAGTCATGTGTGGCTATGAGTACGCATGATGTGGCTAGTGCAACTGAGGAACTGAACTTTTAATTTTACTTAATTTAAATGGCTACCACATTGGAGAATAGTTCTAAATGTTCGATATTGTTCCATATTGCTCATATCTGCATTGAAGCCCCACTCAAGTATATATAATCAAGGGAACCTAGTTCTTATATCTGCACTGTAACTATGACTCTACCTTGGGAAAGTGTGCTCACTATTTGCAGGCTATCCAAATGTAAAGGAGAAGGTGTTCTAAGGATTCTGGGCAGCTCCAAATGACAAATGTCCACTACAGTACCCTTCTGACAAATAGAGCCCCTCTACATGCATGTAATGTACAGATGGCTTTGGTAATGCATAATTGTATTGCGTAAGAGGTGATCATCCAGAAGAGAACAAAAACAACAGAAGGCCAGAAGAATTGGTGTTAACAATACACATGTTCAGGCATTACAGACATCTTTAACATTTACTGAGCCCTGACTCCTCTTCCATGGGCTATGATAAGAAGCTAGGGTAACAGTTTAAAAGCTCTAGGGAATTTAAAACTGTGAAAACTACAAAATATTTACTTGTTAATTTATTTTAAAATAATAATAATTACATGTTAGTGTAAACAACTTTTATAAAAATTTTATTTTCTCCTCAAAATGAGAAGAGTGGCACTGTTTTACATTTTTGCATTAACAGAAGACATCTGAATTCTCACATTTGCTTGTGCATTCAGGCTTTTGCAATATCATACATCACATGGCCTGTGGAAAACTCCACTGTATACTCATGGAAGAATGAGAATGAAAAAAAGCAAGTAAGTCTTTCTATTATTATGAAAATTGTCTTGACCTCACAGATCCCTTGAAAGTGTCAGGGCCTCCATGGGCCCTTGGACTCTATATCTGAGAACTGCTAATCTAATGGAAATTCTAACTATACTGGAAAGATGGAGGCAGGGAGTGTACACTAAAATGCACAGACCAAAACTAGTGGAATTATACAGAGAAATTAACAAATTCATTTAAAAAAACACCAAAAGTCTTATCTTTAACCAAGGGGAAGTCAATAGATAATGTCTAGCTGAAAAATTAAGTAGCTGCAAGCATATCATTTTAGGATAGGTATACAATTATCAAAAGAACTAGCTCAGAATTGAAAGTGGTAGCCCTGGGGAAGAGAAAATGGAAAGCAAAGAGTCTAAGGTCTGGTGTTTGTCTTAACAAATTTTATGGAACTATTTGATTCTTTCAGTGATCTTTACTTAGCAAACTACATATACTCTTGGTAAAATTTGTTTTTAAAATATAAAAAGAAGAGAGCCAGACTGATCATAACCACACACACACAAAGTTAGAAAAAGTTGCCAAAGAATTATTCCATAACCCCTGAAAAGGCATTGGCACCAAATAGTTTTATAGAAAATATCTATTACATGCTGTGGAAAAGGCCGTAAGTCTTATATTATTTAAGCCATTTCAGGAGAGGAAGCTTCCAATAATCCAATATTTAAATAAACAGTTATTATATCACATCAGGCAATGCAGTTAAACACAGTACATACTGACCAATATTTCTGAATGGATTGGTCAGGACAAGTTATGCAGAGAAGGGCAATTTATTGCTGTGAATGCACTAAAAGATTTTTAAGAGATGCTTTTCAATATCCAGTAACACAGGCATAACTCAATTAAGGTAAGAAGTGCAGCCATGAGTTAAACCAAATGAGAAATGCAGTTGATGCACTAGGATTTTTTAAAAAGATTTTATTTATTTATTTTCAGAGAGAAGAGAAGGCAGGGAAAGAAACATCAATTGGTTGCCTCTTGTTCACCCCCAACTGGGGAGGTGGCCCACAACCCAGGCATGTGCCCTAACAGGGAATTAAACCAGTGACCTTTTGGTTCGCAGGCTGGTGCTCAACCCACTGAGCCACACCAGCCAGGACTGATGCACTAGCATTTTTAAACATATGTTTTGGCCATCCCAAAGTGCCACTGTTGATATTCCAAGAATGAATGGGAAATAACAGGGCATTACTATGATGCCCAAAAGTTATTCTAAAGACCATGAATATGAAGAAGGCTTAGATCCATAACATCTTTGGTGAGGTTCCCCAGAAGCAGACTTTGAGAGAATGATTCAAGTACAAGTGATTTATGAAGGAAGTGCTCCCAGGAGAAACTGGGAGTGGGTAACATGAGAGGAAAAGAGCAGCAGCCAAGCAAGGGTGCAATTTGGGGCAAAATCCCAGCTTTAGCCTGGTCTAGCGGGGAGCTCTGGAGCATGAATGAGTTTAAGTCACCTCAGGGCAAAGGAACTAGTCTTTTATAGCCCTGCATTAGTCAGTCAACAG